CCCCAAAACCCCAAAACCCCAAAACCCCGTTATATATTTTAAAGATAGAATAAGAAAAGAGATTAATAAATATTACAATTAGTATTTGAAAGCCTTTAAGTTTAGAAAAATTATTTCCAATGGAAAAGGAAGATTATACACATATATCTGAGCTTAAATATCAGGAATTTAGCACTATCGATCTTACCCCATTTCATCAGGTATATTTTCCATTTCAGACAAAACAACTTCAATTAGATGTTTATGGATGCTGTTGATTAAGTTTATGAGACAAAAAAAAGGGCTGCTTATGTAGTTGACATTAAAGACTTACTATATGAAAAGCTTCCTAATATTGACCTAGTATTTATTGTCATTCATGATTTGTTAGCCAAAGGCAAACTTTATATGAATAAATGTAACTTTCAAAATTTCAAATTATTTCTAATATTACTTAGGTCATACATTATTTGCAACTTTCAAAATTAATAGCAATTATCATACCATTCAGGAAAGTACTGAGATTAGTTTTCCAAGTTATATATTCTCTGAAAAAAGAATTTTGATTCCTACACAATAAAATTGTATAAACTTTGAGAAACTTATTTCGCTATTATTGCAGCCTAAAGAATCAATAATCAAAGACTAATGGATGCTGGAAGGAGCTCCTATGTTTTTAGATAATGAAAGTTTAAAAAACAGAGTGTTGCTTGCGACTTTCCCAAGGACAGGAAATTCATTTCTTAGATAATATTTTGAGTAAATAACTAATATTGTGACTGGGTCAGATATGGATTTTTCATTGACTTAAGAAGTTGGATTAAATGGCTTCAAAGGTGAGGCTTACATCGATGATAGAGTATGGATTTAGAAAACTCATCATCCAATGGATACTTACCATATTGGTTAGAGTAAGGGTAATAGATTGATATCTACAATCAGAAATCCATTAGACACAGTGGTATCGTGCTATGAGCTCTTTTGTACTGATTTGCAATCTTATTGCTTTCCAGATCAATATTACGAAGAAAAGAGAGATCATTTTTGGAAATTCGCTTAATCTAATTTAATTGCCTACTTGTAGCACACAAAATCACTAATCAAAGAGTGCTAAGATGAAGGTGTACAACTTTATTTTATCAGATATGAGGATTTACTTGAAAATCCTTCAAAAACTCTCCATTATCTATTTAAATTTCTTATTAATGTCGATGATATTGAGGGAACTTTATTATAATCCCGGATAGAAAAAGCAATAACTAAAATGAATAATGGATAATAAGCAATTTACAAGGTCCAGAAAAAAGGAATTAATAAACATAGATAAAAATTCACACAAGAAATGATAGATTGGATTTCAAAAGAACTCCATTGGTTCAATCATTTTTTCGGTTATACCAAGATTAAATCAAAAGTAGAAAATTGTTTTGATATTTTCCAATATGAAGAGGAGGACTGTAGTTCTGAAATTCACCTTTAATTTCTTGATCATAATAAAATGGCAATTTAACAATCATAAGGTTAGGATTTTGATAAATGGTTTACCACTTACAGGCCAGAACATATTATAGACTATATTATTGAATTTTAAGGTTTCATTGGCTTACCTTGATTATAAACATGATTAAAATGTTTCATTTAATTATTTTAAATTGCAAAATCATTAATTATGCCCTGAATGCGGGGTTTTGGGGTTTTGGGGTTTTGGGGTTTAAAATAATTAAAAG